ACACAGACAAATAAAAGTTCAAAATAATAATTATAATGTATTTAAAGTTGTGAGACCATATGTTTTTGTACTTCTTCAAAAATGGGAATCAAGGGAACTGTTGACATGTTTTTGAGGGAACAGTTTTAGAAACATGTCGGGAAAAACATGATTGTCATCAGAGATTGTTTTAAATATATATCTATATTTCTTATACAAATTAAACCATGTTTCAAACATTTAACAACTGCAATAATAATCTAGAATTATTACTAAGTATTCAATGTCATACATACCTATTAAATATTATTATTTACAATGTTCCTTTTGTTTGCTATTACTTTTTTGCCGCGCAGTATTCTTTTATTTGTTATCATTTATAGCAAGCTGCCATACCTCATGTTAGGACTTCAGCATGCACAGTCGCATAAATAATGTGAAAGATATCATGAATTGCTGCGTGTGTTGCAATGGAGATCAACCCTGCTGAACTGTTGCTTAGCAACAAGGGATAGAGAGAGAGAGAGAGAGAGAGAGAGAGAGAGAGAGAGAGAGAGAGAGAGAAGAGAGAGAGAGAGAGAGAAGAGAGAGAGAGAGAGAGAGAGCGAGAGAGAGAGAGAGAGAGAGATAGCGAGAGAGAGATAGAGAAGGAGAGCGATAGAGATGAGATATAGCGAGAGATGAGTTAGAATAGAGAGAGATGATAGATACGCAAGCTATGAGCGCTCTCGCTACTCTCTCTCTGCTAGAGCAGAGAGAGAGTCTCTCTCTCTCTCGCTCTCTCTTCTCCCCTCTCTCTTCTCAGAGAGAGAGAGAGAGACCCAGCTAAAGCCTGGGTTGCGGTCGAATAGTCCAAAAATCAGCTCCTATCGTCTATCCCTTGACATCTGTGTGAAACGTCACGGGATTAAGGGATAGTGGATTGGAGAATTCAAAAGGATTTAGGAGAAGAGACTGCGGTGCTTTGAGAATCCGACTGCACTTTCACTATCCGACGTATTGCGCCAGCAAACTACAGTTTTCTATACAGAGGACTACATGATGTAGAATAAGAAAGACGGACTACTGTAAACTCATCTAGAGACTCTGCACCGTGCTCTGATGCTGTTGTTTTATGCTTTATGAACGGGGACAACAGAGAAACATATTCTTCATGACCAAAGTTGGAATTGAAATAAAAAAGGAAAGTGAAACTTATGCTCGTCACCCTCTCCCTCCGGTCCACATTAATACAAATGATCCCAATATGTATGATTGTATGAAAAGATCTTAAAATCAATACAAATGTATTTATTATAAACGTTAGTCCTTAACATCTATCACTGTGTATATCACCATTCAAACATCTTTTAAAAGTTGAACAAACCCCACACAGCTCAGTAAAGACTGTGAAATGTTGACTTTATTTGATCATTTCAGTAAAAACTAACGTTCATATTTCTCTTTTTGATTATAATACTGATGAACGTTCAAAACAAAGCACTTTGGCAAGTTACCACATACGTTTTAAAATGCTTAATAAGCACCGTAACTTTCATGATATCATTTCTCGTTCATAATCGGTTGTTTCCGTGAACGGCCGACTGTTGTGTGACGGCAAATGCTGCGGCTGCAAGGCATTGTGGGGCAGCATTTTCTCCTCTCCTTTCATAAAGGGAGGTACAGTGGTTCCTAAGCTAAAGGAGGTTATAAAGGAAGTTTGAAACCTCCTTTCCTATCATCTAGACTTCTAGAGAATTAGAACGGCTCTTATCATGGCTGCCACTGAGGTACTTCCGGGTCATTTCACTCCGTTAGGAAGGTTCCTAAGCTAAATGGACTATTCGACTGCAACCTGGGTGTGTGTTCAGATGAGTGAGTGAGCTGCTGCAGTGACGTGTGTGTTCTTCACACTGAGCCTCCATCTTTAGGATCACAGTGGATTCTGGGCCCACCTCCACCATAAAGGAAAGCGTATGTTTGTTTAGAGGACACACACACACACACACACACACACACACACACACACACACACACACACACACACACACACACACACACACACACACACACATACACATACACATACACATACACACACACACACTCGTAGTGGAGAGGAGACATTGCAGTCACAATTGATTTGTTAGGAGGGTGTGTGTGTGGTGCATTTAGTACATGTCCACACAGCATTTTAGGTACACAGGTGTTTTCACTTAGTTTGGCTAAATATAACTTTTGATTGACACCTTGCCCACTCTGCTGTTGGAACTTGGGGGGGGGTGTGAGACATCTTCCACCTTGGTGTTTTATTATCGGTGCATGCAGCTTGGGGTTGGTCTTTGTGAATGCACACAGGTGTTCTGGGTTCTGTTGATTAAACATGTCTGCTGAGGGAGAGGCAGTTGGATCAACACAGACACACAATTCAGAAGGTTATCCTTTAGCGATTAACAATACACAGCGCTGTCATGTTAAAATGCAGTGGAACTCCACGAGCCTTTAAAAAGGAGGTAGATGGTTAGACAAATGTCAGTAACCAGCACAATGCCTCCTTGTTTCTCTTATGTTGGCATGATGTTGATGTGTAAACAGGCAGTGAAATCCCCAATTCTTAAATATAAAGTCAGTGTCCAGGTACTGTTTTGGTAAAAAAAAAGAAGTTGTTAGAGCATAACAACTCTCCACAGAAAACCACAATTAAAATCCTCATTTACTGTTTTTCCTATACCCATACCTACACACTGTTTATCTCAGACAGAAACGTGTGTATAATTGATGAATAGACCCTACCAGCAGTCTCTTAAGCAGTGTGTGTGGCTCAATTCCAATAACACCCCCCCCAACCTCCCCCCATGCACATGGAGTCTGTTTGTGTTCGTCAGGGAACACGCTGCGTTTAAATAGTAACTAGAAATAGACCCTTTATAGTCAAACACTTTATTGTATTGTATTGTTTATTAGTATCAAATATACCCATGTATATTGTAGAAAGTGGTACACATGTGCATTTGTTTGTACAGTTTGGAATATTTACAGGTACTGTTACCAAAGCCAATCAGCTCCTAAATATCACATTTCAAACGGAAAAGATGTTCACGACTGTATTTACACCCACACCTTAAAAAAGGAGCCTCACTCAGCTGAGTGTGGAATCGGCCTTTGTGTTGGGTGAAGCCAGACGTGCACGTGCATTATTGATGGCACACAGATGTGGCCATGCTATGTTATCCCACTCAGTGTCTGATATGTCTAGAGGTCTACTTTATCAAGGTGTCTGCAAGTTGAATTTTATTTTATTCAAGACATATTGAATCCCAGGTCAGGTTATATGAGAGGGGGGCGTGTGTGCGTTGGTGTTGGGATCAGGGCGTCACAGGTACAAACCCCACTGCAGTCAGCATGTCGGCAAGACACTTCACCCCTAATTGCTCCTGTGGGGATTGCCCACAGTATTGAGTATGTAAGTCGCTTTGGATAAAAGCGTCTAACAAGTAACATGTAATGTAATGTAATGTAATGTGAGGTTTAAAAAAAAAAAAAAAAGTGACTGAGAGTTGTCACAATCGTATGTGAGGTTTCAACTGGAGCTGCTCCTTTAGGCTCTGTATGTTTTTTGACATCTTATACAAATATTTTAAATGTGTCACATCTGTCTCAGGGTTCTTTAAGAGACAGAACAATGCTAAGATCTTATGTAAAACTTTAAATACTTGAATTGTGGTTATTATTGCAGGGGTAAATGTTTTTAAAAGTGGTTTCATGTTTATAAAGAGTATAGCATAAATATAAAACAAAGCATCATGCTGTTCAATTATATTCTAATGTTCAACCTTCTAAAATATGTGACCAATTTTCTCAATTCCCATTTTCCAAGATAACAAATGTTCTTACATTTAACACATTATTTTCCTTAAATTAAACTCCTTGATATATTGCGCATTAGTCTGTGTGAACCAATAAAACGTTGTGGGGCTCGCTGCTCCGCCCTTTGAGGCTCGAGGAGCGGACAGTGTGAGCTGGATTACTGGTGTCGTTTCCTGGTTGCTGCGTGGGGTCTGCGAGACAGCGAGACACCGCGGAACTCAGCCTGAGCACACACACACTCACAGCCTGAGCTCCGTGTGTGTGTGTGTGTGTGTGTGTGTGTGTGTGTGTGTGTGTGTGTGTGTGTGTGTGTGTGTGTGTGTGTGTGTGTGTGTGTGTGTGTGTGTGTGTGTGTGTGTGTGTGTGTGTGTGTGTGTGTGTGTGTGTGTGTGTGTGTGTGTGTGTGTGTGTGTGTGTGTGTGTGTGTGTGTGTGTGTGTGTGTGTGTGTGTGTGTGTGTGTGTGTGTGTGTGTGTGTGTGTGAAGCTCCGCAGCGTTACGTCACTATGACCAGGACGAAAAAAATGGAAAAAGAGAAATCTCCAACGAGGCGTTCTGGGGCAGCATAGACAGGTCTTTTCTGTGTTAGAGTTTTACTCGCTACAGGGTGTACTTTGAGGGTTTGTGACTCTGCAGACCGTTTACATGCAGAAAACGCTTCATAACACAAGGGGACGGGTAATAACCAGAAAAGCATGACATGGGAGCTTTTAAAGTGGAACTGCATATCCCGGCCAACAAATCATTTTCTACAGACTTAATAAACATATTTGTGGTGCAGTTCTGCCTTAAAAAATCACAAACATAATAATTTAAGGTTTCACAATTTATGAGAATTATGAATAAGAAATGCCAACTCTTCTAATATCATGAAGTATTTTGCAATTTGTTATTTTTCGAATCGAGCAAGCTCAGAAATGTTATATGCTTGAATGAAGCTGTTTAGCTTTCTTTGGGTACGTTTTAGCGTGCAGTTTGCCTTGTATGAACACCATGACTCTGAAGTCTGGCCCTCAGCACCAGCACTACAGTACTGGGACTTCTCTGTGTTTCATTTCCAGTTGCATAATAATTACAAAAACGACAGCAGGTACCTTCAAGTTGAACTCTGTCTCAAATGGTGTTTTGTAATGATAAGTGTTGCCATGCTAAGCCCTGATGTTGTGTGTTGTGTAGAACGGCGAGGCCAAGCTGGGCCCTCCCATCATAATGTGTACGCGCTCCTACCCAGAATACGGAGAGGGTTGTGCTGACGGGGAGTGTGCCATGGACAGCAGCGCTGAAAACGGCAACAGCTGCGACTCTTCGGGTCCAGCTCGGCGGGACAGGTGAGGAGATCGATCTGTATCTCAGAAGCGGACTTTGCATTACATTGTGCGAGCATTTTCAGCTTTTAAAGATGGTTATAATGGTTGTTTATTCAGTGCACCAAGTTCCTAGCCTACTTAGTCTGCAAGGATATCTCAGTTCTTATTCATGTTCCATCAAAACCTTTGGTGAAGTCTCACAGGAAGCTGGTCAAACTTGAACATTCATTTATTAAAAGTACATTACCACGTCGCAACAGACTTGTTCCATCCAAGTGACGGATACATAGCCTGGCCCAAAACCTTTTGAAGAGCTTTTTAAGAACAGGAAAATAGAGAAAAGTAGACAAAGCTATACAAAAAGGTATTCATTTAAGATATAAACAACAGCTATGTAATCTGTCAACATAAACAAAATGTCTGAAATCTAAATGTGTTTAATTCCCTCCTCCCCTGCTCCCTGCTGTGCGAGCCCAGCCGCCTGATGGGCTCGGCGTCTGTGATCTCCAGAGAGGAGCAGTTTGAGGACTACGGGGAGGGGGAGGATGTGGATTTCACTCCCAGCAGCCCTTGCCCAGAAGAGGAAACCCGAACAAACGGCTTCTCCGACCTGGGGTCCTCGCTTCCCTCCAGGTTGGTGGTCCAGTTAGAGCGCACACCCTGAATCACACGCTCTGGTATTATTATCTGATTTGTCAGGGACTGGACGGCAGATGACTTTCCTCCCTAGCAAAGCAAAGTTTTGATCTCCCTCGGTTCACTTGCTGCCAATGTTAGGTCTGTAGCAAAGCCTTGGCGTGTCTTTTCAAAGCTGTGATGGAAATTGAATGAGCAGAGTACTAAGAAAAAGGATGCTGCAGACTGATCTGATGTCTGACAAACTGAAGGTTTGATCAAAAGGCTTGGCCAAGGATAATAGAAAATGAACAATTCAAGTGTACAGCCCTTGCCTGTCCTTTTTACCCTAAACATGGCAAGCAATACACTTCTTTATCTAAAGATGAGTCATTTCGATGGCTCCACAGATCCTAGTCATAACAATCTGTATCGTCTCTGTCTCAGACTTTCTGTGCTTGAACTTCACTATACTTTATATACATATATATTTAACAAACATAATCATAATTATTATTCTGATTCTAAGAAAGTTTGAATGTTATATCTACATTAGATTTTTCTACTTTTTCTACTCCCAAAATCGGTACCTACAGTAAATGTAGCTTGATTCAAGAGTGTGGTATTAATGAAAGCACTTCTCCCAAAATGCAATGCACAAAGGAAACAGAGTAGAGGCTAACAGCAGCAAAACATTGATCCCAATGTGAGTAAGATTTCAAAATACAGAAAAAAAAAAAATACTTACTGTCACTACAGAGTAATCCATACCATCATGGAGAAAGCCCTTTTTTTAAGGAAGATGCCTTAAATAGAAACAAAAACAGTTTTAATTTGAGCTGAAAGGTTTTGTGTTATATTAAACGCCTCATTTCTTTGAGTATTTTGTTTCTATTGATGGTTGCTGTTACATTATATGCTGCTAGCCCTTGTCTCGTGTATTTACTACTTCTCTGACTTCCAAGGTGTTATAATCACAGCCCCCCTTCAGACCTGTAGACCGATGCTCTCTCTGTGTTGCAGTGCGGGGCAGACTCCTCAGAAGATGCGGCAGCTGTATAACAGCGAGCTGCTGGACATCTACTGCTCTCAGTGCTGCAAGAAAGTGAATCTGCTCAACGACCTGGAGGCTCGCCTGAGAAACCTGAAGGCCAACAGGTGAAACACCCGAGCAGAAACACAACGGGGCCAAACCATAGTCCTTACAGAGCAGAGACACACACTCCTTTCCATCAAACGCCATCCGGCCAAATCCACCCTGACTCGTCCTTGGCACTCACACGCTACACCCACATCTGAGGGCCCGGCCAGCTAGAGCTGTTGCTATAGCAACCATATCCCATTGGATGGCAGGTTTTTGTGTGTCTGTGTGAGATGCAATACATCATCAATAACACAGTATACAAAAACAAGATGGTAGATCAATGATATTATTTATTTAGAAATGGCTTAAATTGTGAGCAAAGTAAATGGGATTGAATGAGTCAGCATTCTGGGACCTTAACCACTGCATGTGTCAGCCAAAGTCTTCATTTACAGCTTGTATCGATGAAAAACCCCATCAATAAAGAGCCCAAAATTAGCATTTGGTTCCCTTTTTTCTTTTCTTAGTCTGAATGCTAACTCAACAGATACATGAATAATCAGTAATCAGAAATGCTTTATTCGACACACAGCAGGAACATTTAAATTGTTGCAGCAAAGGGAAAGTGCACATTAAAGCTAAATAAAATAAGTAGACTAACATATTTTAATTGTTAAATTATTATTAAATTGTAAGTTGCGATTTTAAGTATATATTGCAATGTTATTTAAGAACTGTGTAGTAGCATCCAGTAGTAACAATATTTAACTGTTTAAAAAAAGTTATATACAAGATGTATTAAGTTGTTAAGACAGCCCTATCTGCTGTTATGTCATTGATGCCAGCTCAGCAGATCAGAGCTGTCTGTAATGACACGTTACTGAGGGTCTTAGCTCAGACGTATGGTGATTATCCTACAGTTTCTTCTGCACATCTACATACAGGGGTGTAGGACACTAACACATCGAAAACAATTCATTCAGCCCCATGAAAAATTATGAATCACTCCCACTCTGTTAGGATCGTTCGTTCTTAACACACCCCGTGATCAAGGGAGCCTGACCACCAAGTGAATAAAAGTGCCTTCTGGTGCACTTGGCAATGATCCTGAAAACACAGCCCATTAGAGCATTATGCTCACAGAGCAGCAACTAACTATCAATTTTCCGATGTTTTTTTCTCTGCGTGTGAGAAGTGTCCATGCTAACAGTAAGTGTAGTGTCAGCAGTCAGTGTGTGACTAGGTCTCTCTCTTGTGTTTCAGCCCTAACAGAAAGATTACCAGCACAGCGTTTGGACGGTGAGTGACCCGACCTTCCTGATGACCTTTAAATGAAAATACTGCACTGAGGGGGGGCAATCACTTGTGGTGTGTGTGTGTGTGTGTGTGTGTGTGTGTGTGTGTGTGTGTGTGTGTGTGTGTGTGTGTGTGTGTGTGTGTGTGTGTGTGTGTGTGTGTGTGTGTGTGTGTGTGTGTGTGTGTGTGTGTGTGTGGTGTGTGTGTGTGTGTGTGTGTGTGTGTGTGTGTGTGTGTGTGTGTGTGTGTGTGTGTGTGTGTGTGTGTGTGTGTGTGTGTGTGTGTGTGTGTGTGTGTGTGTGTGTGTGTGTGTGTGTGTGTGAGAGAATAATCCTGTTGGATTTTCGTCCTGCAGTCAGCTGTTCCAGGCCAACCACAGTGTGTTTGGATCGAGTCAGGGCAGCAGCACGGAGGATCTGTTCACTGACAGCATCGACTCCTGCGACCTCGACATCACAGACAAAGTACACACACTCACACATGCAGGCACAAATGTGACCCGCTCTATTGAAATCAGTTGGATGTCGCAACGGCCATTCCGAGCTAATCATGGATTAATGTGAAAAACTTGTGTTCTGGTCATTTGGGGGTTTTGGTTGATTTTAAACAAACAAAGTATTGGCTTTAAGAATATCAAACTTGTATTGCCTTTTCATTCAGACGAGAAATACAAAATCTTAGCTTGTAAAGACGGGATGTTAACTTCAGCGATCACAGTCTCCTCTCACTCTGATCAGCTCCCCCCTCCTCAATACGTCTTCCTGAAATAATGAATGACAGCTGATAACCCTGCAGGGTCCAAGACTGTGACTGACTGAGCCAGTGGGGGCAAATGGTCAAGACAGTAAAGGACATAAACATTGATATAATAATACTAAAAATACATTTACCCAAATGGGAGGGGAAAAAATAGACAAACTAATGTACAAATATTTTTTTTTTTTTACAATATTTGTATTGAAGTTTTCAAATACGGACGTTACACATACATATAATAACGAACATTACACATACATAAAATAAAATAACGAACATTACACATACATAAATGGTCAGTCTATGTGGCAGATACAGTGTAAAATCAAATGAATAGGCATGCAAATAAACACAGGTCAGTATACAGATGATACAGGACAAAAATCTGAAAGAATATGACGTGGGCGTTTAGACTTTAGAATCGTATTCCCGTTGCCCCCTTCCCCGCCCCGGTCTTTAGTGTTATTAATCATTACAAACATTATTTTTCAGAAACTCCATGAAGCTCCCCCAGATATTTTCGAAAACTGCCAGCTTTCCTTTAGTAATGTATGTTAGTTTTTCTAAAGCGACACTTGCTGACAGATCCTTAATATATTTATTCATACTAGGTTTAGTCACATTTGTCCATTCTATAGCTATTGCCCTCTTAGCTTGTAAAAGACACAAGTCTATAAGTGCACGCTCACTCTTCTTAGAAACAAAGTCTTTTGGATAAATACCCAGGATGCACAACTTTGGCTGACAAGGGATTTTCAGCTTTGTTATCTGGTTAATCATGTTAAAAAACGATTGACCACATTACATTCCCACAAACAGTGAACGAGTGATCCTTTAGCATTGTTACATTTAAAGCAGGTGTCTGGGGTATTGGGATTAAAGTGATGTAGTTGTGATGGCGTTATATATGTTCTTAAAATCCAATTGTATTGTATCAACTTAAGCCGTGTGTTGATTGTTTGTGTTTGAGCCTTCAGGCACACTTCAGAACATTCCTTTTCAGAGATTTCCTCTTGTAAATCAAGCCTCCAGCTTTTAAGTTTATCTTCTGAAGATTCAGGTGACTTGTCTACAAAGATTTTATAGAGCAGCGATAGCTGGCCTCTACCAACCACGTGTTTAACTGTAATGTCTTCCAACATTGAGAGAGGTGGCTGAGTAAGTGAGCGGTTTTGAGATACAGAGATAAAATGTCTTATTTGTAAAAACTTAAAGAAGTGCTTAGAAGGAATATCATACTTTTCTTGTAGTTCAGTAAATGACATTAATTTTCCATCATTGTACAAATCGGTAATCCTGCTTAATCCCTTGTTTGCCCGAGTCTTAAAACCATGTTCTCTACCAGGTATAAATGGACTATTGCCCCATATGGGGGTGAAACCTGACAGTGGGGGGGTGTCCCCTATATATTTTTGGACCTCATGCCAGATGTATTTCTTAGAAAGATTTTTTTTGTGTTTTTCCCTAGCTTCTTTGGCTCAGAAGAATAAAGATAGCTACTAAGCGACAACCCTTGAGCTGAGCATGCTTCAATCTTGACCCACGCTGGAGCTTCCTCTGGGGAGAAGTAGCACATGGCTGCTCTCAGTTGTGCTGCCCAATAGTACCAGCGTAGGTTGGGCAGTTTTAGACCCCCTCTGTCATAAGGCAAGTAAAGTAGGGTAAAACGGAGCCTTGAGCGTCTAATATTCCAGATAAATAAATGACTCGGGTGGGGGTAAGGGGATTGATTGAAACAAATAGAGCAATTTGGGTAATGTATTCATTTTTAAGATGTTAACATGACCGATTAAGGAGATTGGCATTAAAGTCCATCTGTTAAGCGATTCTACCACAGAGTCTCCAACAGGGTTATAGTTGGCTGGAACCAGATCATTCATTTCAGGTGAGATTTTTATTCCTAAATAGGTGAATCCTTCCCTATGAGCTGAAAAGGGAGTTTGTATTCTAGGTTGCTGCCTCTCTTGTTCATTTAGATAAAGTATTGAGAATTTATACATATTTATTTGTAGCCTGAAAATTCCCCAAAGGTCGTAATTAGTTCTAACAGAGATGGTACAGAATACTCAAGATTTGATAAAAAAAGAACAACATCGTCCGCATAAAGTGATATTCGATGATCCAAGTCACCTACTGAGATCCCAGATATAGATGGAGAGTCTCTAATAGCCATGGCAAATGGCTCCATTGCTAACACAAACAGCAATGGGGAGAGGGGGCAGCCCTGACGTGTAGATCTGTACAATGAGAAGGATGTAGAAGTCATATTATTTGTCACCACTTCAGCTGTTGGGTTCTTATATATCGTCCTGAGCCATTTGAGAAAGCCTACGCCTATTCCAAACCTCTCCAACACTTCAAACAAATACTTCCACTCAATTCGGTCGAAGGCCTTCTCTGCGTCTAAGGACAGCAGTGCCATGTTAGGTGACCCTCTTTTTTCATAAAGAATATTTAGTACCCTTCTAACATTATGAAAAGCTTGCCTTCCCTAAATAAAACCATTTTGATCATCTTTAATCATGGAAGGCAGTAGTTTGTTTAGGCGTCTCGACAACGTCAATACATCTGTATTAAGCAGTGAGATTGGTCTGTACGATGCACAGTCAGTGGGTTCCTTTCCTGGTTTTAGCATCAGAGTGATTAGTGCCCCTCTAAGAGATGGTGGTAGGTCCTCCTTTTCATATGACTCCAACAGCATATCCAAAAGTGGTTGTAGTAGCTTATCTTGAAATTGTTTATAGATTTCTATAGGAAGCCCATCTGGACCAGCCGCCTTTCCCCCCGTCATGCTGGTTATGGCTTCTGAAAGCTCCTCAGTTCCTATGATATGGTCTAGTTTTCCTTTTGAATCAGTTGAAATAATGGGGAAATCTAATGAACTTAGAACATGTTCATGTTGGTCTGAATCTTCATGTTCGGAAGGATAAAGTTTTTCATAAAACATTTTAAAAGCATTATTTATTTCTGCAGGGTCATTTGTTAATTTACCATTTATTTTAATGCTGTTGATAACCCTTTCAGATTGCAATTTTTGAATACGCCAAGCCAATATTTTGCCCGCCTTTTCTCCCTGATCGTAGTAGCTTTGTTTTAATGTTAGTAAGCTAGCAGCTGTCTGGTTACTCGATAATTCACTATATTGAGTCCTTAGTAGTGTTCATTTCGTCAGCTATTTTTTAATTTAGTTTTAGTCTTAGTCCTGTGTTAAATTTCCTTTTTAGTTTTAGTCATATTTAGTCACCTTCATCCTGTTTTTATTTAGTCAAGTTTTAGTCGACTAAAAGTCTGAGCATTTTAGTCTTATTTTAGTCAAAGAAAACTAATTATTTTAGTCTACTTTTTGTCAATGAAAACTGTTGAGTCTTTTTTAGTCATCAGATTATATAGAACATTTCAGTCAAACTAGTCTAGCCAAAACCAATCATTTGTCATTTTAGTCAAACTTATTTCACAATAAGATGATATCTTGTCCTTATTTGATGAAAAACACAGGTTGAATGATTAAGAAAGCAGCTTTGCAGTCAGAGAGTATCTGGTCAGGTTTGTGGTGTTTTTACCAGCTGTGTTATGGCCACATTGCTTCCCTTCTGATAAAACAATGCATTCACTTTTTTTCTCCGCCTCATTGTAGCGAAAATGGGCCCAAATATCACATCGTTTCTTTCTCCCAAGCAGTGGTGGCATTAGACTTTGTCGTTGTCAGTCATTTTGACGGACAGGATCGTAACATTTCTGTCATAATCCATTATTACCCGTCGAGTCTGTACACAACTCATCACTCACTCGCGCTGACGGGGGGGGGGGGGGGGGGGGTATTCAGTTAACTGCTCCCAAGCCCTGTTGTTGCCATTTTATTTTCTGTTAAATAAGGTTAGTTAGACCATGAGTTAGACCCGAGTCTTCCTGACAGTTCATATTGTGCCGCTGCCCAGTGTAATTCAAATGTACCGCCGCGCGCAGCACAGACACACAGCTGCAGCACCAGAAATTGAACTGCTGGGAGAAAAACTGACTATCAGAGATGTAACGTTATCTTGGATAATATTTAGTCTCCTCATTTTTCGTCAACGAAAGTAAAGAGAGATTTTGGCATAGTTTTTATTTAGTAAACTACATTTTCGTCTCGTCACTTTTCGTCAACGATATTGCATGATGATTTCGTTACAGTTATTGTTTACTGCCGTCGGTGCCGTCTCGTCATCGTCTTGTTTTCGTCATGGAAAAAAGGTCGTTGACGAACATATTTCGTCATAGTTTTAGTCAACGAAATTAACACTAGTCCTTAGGACCAAAAGTTCTGTTTGTAGTTCTGGGGAATCTTGGGTAACAATCCTGTCCTCCAAATCTTTAATACAACCCTCCAGTGAATTTAATTTGGATTTAAAGGCTTTGTTCTGCGAGGTGGAATAGCTAATAATCATGCCCCTAATGTATGCCTTAAACGCTTCCCAGCGTACAGTTGGAGAGGTTTCGTTAGTATTCATGCTAAAATAGAGGTCAATATGTATTCCTACAAATTCAACACATTTTCTATCCTGTAGCCATCTGGATTGAAAACGCCACCTAGGTGGATTCATAACAAGATCAGAGTTATTAAACAATAATGAAATTGGTGAATGGTCAGAGAGGACCCTACTGTCATACCAACATTTTGTAATCCTTGACATAAGACCCATAGAAACCAGGAAATAGTCTATACGTGAGT